AAACAAAGTATTTGGAATTTCTCGTCGAAAATTTGCTACTTTTTTACACTGAAATCGATTGAAAACAACTAGAAATTCTGGAGGGAATATGTGCGAAAGCTTCGGATTGATAGGGATACAACTACCTGAAAAATACAAGGAGAACTTCGACGTTTCGAGCGAAGGCGCTTCGACTTATGCTGTTAATGTTTGTATATATAGTAATATAGTAATAATAGTACTTGACCTTTTATACTGTCGTACTTAACACTACGTATACCATAAATTCTGACAGGAGAGTTAAATGTAAATTTTAAAGCATAAAAATATATAATACTCATTCTTGAGGAGATTTATCAGCAAAGGTGAAGTACGATGTATATAAACACTAACAGTACAAGTGACAAGTCGAAGCGCCTTCCCTCGAAACGTCGAAGTTCTCCTTGTATTTTTCAGGTAGTTGTATCCCTATCAATCCGAAGCTTTCGTACATATTTCCTCATAATTTTTAGTTGTTTTCAATCCGATTTCAGTGTAAAAAGTATCAAATTTTCGACGAGAAATTCTAAATACTTTATTTATATTTTGCAACAATTGCTGAGCATCGTAGAACTCACGTTGGAAATTCAACGTGAATCAATTCGATTTCTCCAGAGCTATGCCCACCCTTAACCTGCGAACGGGCATGCTCGGGGAACGAGATTCGCTCTTGAGCAACATAGGCCGGGATGCTGTCGTGAAAAACTGGACACGCGTACTCTGTAATAGGACGGATGCAGGTGCAATAAAATTGAATTAGCTCGGTAATTTCCAAGATCGAGCGTTTGAGTTGAGATAAGCTGTACAAACGGTTCCGAGCTTTCCTCATAACCGCATCGATGTAGCCATTCCACTTAAGATTATAAGCACAGAATAGATACATACAGAGCTGTAACTTGTCGTCATAAACACTGCGGAAACTTATGTTTTCATGTACCCACTTCGTTTCAGACGACCGGGCAAATAATGATCAACTGCGCGTGCTCGGCAAGTTCCGCTAGCAGTTAAAGCGAACCGCCATCCAATGGGATGCATGTATCTAGTAACTTGCCGGGCACGCACACAAAAAAGTGGACACACTAGTTTTAACTCTGTATATGTATCCTACTTGTGTTATAGCTTATAAGATACATTAAGTCCAAGAATCTTGGCGTCAGTTACAGTATCAATATAATTGTCATTAATAAAAATACTCAATAGGATCGAAAGTTTGTTTATTCTTGACGCTGAAGCAAATACACAGTTCTTTACATTTTTCTTAAGCTGGAACTTGTCTGTGGCTGCACAGTTCACTAGAGTGTCTACAGCCGTCTGGATGTTACTGTTTTGATTCCTTCCTATCGTCTCCGACATGGTGGTATCATCGACATATTTCCACAATTCTGTGTTGGGGATGTCAAGCTCATCAATCATCACAGTAAGTAGCCACGGTCCCAGTTTTGTGCCTCGATGGACCCCCGCTGGCACCATGCCCCACTCGGAAAAGCAGTCCTGACCAAGCTTCACTCGCTGTTTCGTTGAATAGGGTTACATGTGAACATATTGCGCTGTTTCTTTGAATAGAGTTACATATAAACATATTGCACTGTTTCCTTGAATAGGGTTACATATATATATGTTATTTACCGGCTGCGAGGTCCGGATGAGAAAAACTGTGCCCGAGGTCTTGAAAACGGCCCGAGCCCGAAGGGCGAGGGACGTTTTCAAGACCGAGGGCACAGTTTTTCTCATCCGGACCGATGCTGCCGGTAAATAACGTGTTTATTTTTTATCAGATATAAAAATTAAATTCATTAAAATTCCAGTGTTGCTTGCGAACTAATTTGAGATCAGTGCAGTTGTGTATTTTCAAAGCGAGGCTGACAAAAATTGAAAAGTTGAAAGATATAAAACACGAATACGAAAACTCGAGAAAACTGGCAGGAAACACACAAAAAGATGTATAGTTTCAGTAAAAATGTACATGCTTTTTTCATAACTATGATAGCAGAGAAGCTTTGGAATAAAAACTTTTATGCCCGGCGTTTTGGCTTTGGCAAAATCAGTTGCTCCTGACGGTCCTGACAACGACAGGTTCATGTTCAGTACCGATCAAAAACATATAAAAATGAATCTGTTTTGATTTAATCATCGTTTTTATACTAAAAGGACAATTAAAAAGGTATGTTGTTTTTATATTTTTGTATTTTTTCTTCTCGTCTCAGGATAATATGCTTGAAAAAAGTGTTTTTAAACACAAACTTTTACTTTGTTTACAATATTTATATCAGTGAAAAATGCATGACACAAATGGGTAGAGAATATATTCGTGACTTGTTTTTACTGCTGCAGTTAAACCTTTTAAATGGGAAAACATTTATTTTACAATTTCTGTTCAAGCTGTAATTTTTTCGCTTTTAAGTGGCCGAATACATGAGCATTTAAAAAAATATGTAGTTTTCTCGACGTAAGTTTTATTCATGTCAAATATAAACTTTCCGACTTTCAGTCACATTTCTATCAAAATATTGTCAATTCTGGTGAACATCGTGCTTAGTGTGAAGTCTTTAGAGCTTGATGCAATTCATTTTCGTATTCTGACTATCGTTAGGCCAGGTTAGGCTATGTTTTTCAAACGTTTTTGCTGATTTTTTCGTTTAAAAATTGTTTCACTCCTCGGTTTTTGGCGCGAAATCCAGAGCGGGCAGTTGCATTTCACAGCGGCCAGTTGCGTTTCAGAGCGGGCCGGATGCAAAAAACCGGCCCGCTCTGAAAGGCTCTCAGCCAATCAGATTGCTTCATTTTCACTGATAAAAAATAAATAAACATATTGCACTGTTTCCTAGCTTGAATAGGGTTACATATAAACATATATTGCTTATTATTTTTTATGCAATGTTTATTTGGTAAGTAATATAGTCACCTTACCATGAGGATTTCAAAGTGACTTTTAACAGTGGCCTATGATTTTTCGTAGGTTTTAAGCGTCCAGCATAGACCAGCATAGTGCCATCAAAACGATTAAATACAAAAATTGACGTAAACGTTTCGTATTTTTTGTCGTTTTACTGCTTGTCCGGCAGATTTTTAATTGATGATGATAATAAATATTTTATATTTATACATTAATTTATAACTTGCGTTTTGTTTTGCAATGAATCCAAGA